TGGAAAGAAACACATCCAGAGGTGCTGTGGCTTAGCTGGTCAAAGCGCCTGTCTAGTAAACAGGAGATCCTGGGTTCAAATCCCAGCAGTACCTCGCTGTTATCTTCTTCTTCTGTTGATGCGTTTGTAATTATCCAGTTAGGAAATTCTGGGAAGTCTGTTTCAAAGTTAAATTAATGGACTGGCTCTTATATAGGGCTTTTCTACTCTATCACTCAAAGTGCTTTACACAACTCGCCTCATTCACCCAAGAACTGTTTTCTATGCTCTTTCTAAGTAACTGCTCCTCTATGAGCAAGCACTTTGGCAACAGTGGGAAGGAAAAACTCCCTTTTAACAGGAAGAAACCTCTGGCAGAACCAGGCTCAGGGAGGAGCGGGGCCATCTGCTGCGACTGGTTGGGGTGAGAGAAGGAAGACAGGATAGAAGACATGCTGTGGAAGAGAGACAGAGATTAATAACAGATATGATTCAATGCAGAGAGGTCTATTAACACATAGTGAGTGAGAAAGGTGACTGAAGAAGAAATACTCAATGCATCATGGGAATCCCCCAGCAGCCTACACCTATTGCAGCATAACTAAGGGAGGATTCATGGTCACCTGATCCTGGTTGGATCCAGCCCTATCTATATGTTTTAGCAAAAAGGAAAGTTTTAAGCCTAATCTTAAACATAGAGATAGTGTCTGTCTCCTGAATCCAAACTGGAAGCTGGTTCCACAGAAGATTAGTAGGTGACCTGCTCTACCTCTAGAGTGGCCTAAGAAATTTTATAAACAAAATAAACATGCAAATGTATACCATAAATTACATTTTAACAGTATTGTGTGTGGTTGTAGCTCAGGAGAAAGAGCAGGGCATCTACTACTTGGCAAGTTAGTGGTTCAACCACTATATAATCCAGTTTCTGACTCATATAATCTCTGACCTCAGCAAACACTTTCCTGATTATTTTATGTTGTCAGTCATTTCCAGTCAGACAGCACCATGTAGTTATGATGGTTATAGTCCCCTTTAGATTCAAAACGGATTGTGCAACATTGTAGCCTGTATGTGATTAACAGGTTGCTACTGTCTTTGATATTGTCTCTTGTGTCCCTGAGATTCTTCCTTCACAATGGGTGAAGGAAGTTAACTCAGAAAGTTCAATTAGTTCAGCTAGAGGAAAAATAGTCCAAATAAATCTAAGGAGCTTGGAAAGAAACACATCCAGAGGTGCTGTGGCTTAGCTGGTCAAAGCGCCTGTCTAGTAAACAGGAGATCCTGGGTTCAAATCCCAGCAGTACCTCACTGTTACCATTTAAAACCACCCTCTTCTTCTTCTGTTGATACGTTTGTAATCATCCAGTTAGGAAAGTCTGTGTATGTCCTCAGTTATCCAGCTCATGGTGCTCTCCAGATGCTTTCCTTTCCAAGCTCCATAGACTACAATGACCTACATGACTGAGAACCTTCACAGACTGTCTAAACAAATATCAGTAGCTGTACTTAATGAAAGTTATGAATAATTGTTTCTCTAATGGTTAAAACGGTTAAAAGTTCATGAATTAATTTCTAGTCAGCATTAAAGGAATAGTTGGCTCAACAGTGCTCTGACTTTTTATCAGCTTGGTTACAGTGCTGAAGAGAAACCTGGGGTTGTTCTTATCTTCTTCAATCAATGATGAATAGTAAGATGTTCTAGCTTTATGGAGGCTTTTTTTATAGAGCAACAAACTTTTTATCCAGTCTAAATAAAGATCTTCTAAATTAGTGAGAATCCATTCGCTCCAGTTATCTGCTTTTAGGTGCCCATTTGAGAGTTATACCAGGGAGTCAAATACTTCTGATTTCAGGCTTTCTTTTTCACAGGAGCTACAATATCCAGAGTCTTGTGCAGTTAAAATGTAGTGAGATTACCAAGTGACATCTGCAGGACCCTTACGATTACTGTGACAGTGTCAGACACTGAATGTTTCAAAGTTAAATTAATGGTACTGGCTCTTATATAGGGCTTTTCTACTCTATCACTCAAAGTGGGAAGGAAAAACTCCCTTTTAACAGGAAGAAACCTCCGGCAGAACCAGGCTCAGGGAGGGGTGGAATGAAAACAATTTTTTTTGGATGTACGCCACAGGAATGGTCTAAAAAAGATAAATGTTTACTAAGTGCCTTGCTAGTTGCAAGTAAAAAATGTATAACAAAGAAATGGCTATTACAAGATGTACCAACTTTATCATTGTGGTGGGAAATAACACTTGAGTTTATAGGATGGAGGAGTTAACAGCGTATGTGAATAACAGAGTAAGTTGGTTTTTGTCATGCTTGGATAAATGGGTCCAATACACTAATATACATAAGCCGAATTTAATTCTCAAATTTTAAAATCAATAATCTGGCAACTGGTCACTCCCGATTGTTCAGTGTTTCTCTTTTGTTTATTTTTTTTGCAAATTGTGTTAATCAACACCTGTAACTAACATTGTAAACTCTAAAACTCAGAATTTAAAAAAAAAAAAAGATAAGTTATAGTCCCCTTTAGATTCAAAACGGATTGTGCAACATAGTAGCCTTTTGTTGTTGTTGTTTTTTATTATTCTTAGTAAATTAAGCAATAAATCTGGCCATGGATGTTTTTTTACCACCTCCAGCTTGATGTAATCCACCTATACTTGAAAAAATGCTGTAGCATTGCTGGGTAAAAGTTTGTCTGAAGCTATTGTTGATCTAAAGAGTTCTCTTGGGTCATTGGGTGTAAAATAACAAAAAACTCTCTCGGTGTTCTGGCATTTGAATGAAATGATAAAAATATGCTTAACCTCTTACAACCAAAATAAATAACACAAAGAAAAGAAACAAAAAAGTTTTATTAAGTACTTTTAAGGGTGTGGAAACCCCTTAAAAGGATAAAGATCCATGTCCTTGTGCCAAACTTAGGATAGAAGTAATGTTTAAACAGCTACACTGGTTTATTCCAAACACAAATCAAATGAACAAAGTTGGGCCAAATCTGAACTCTTTTCAAACATTTTGATTGTAATGATGAGCAAAAAACAAAATGTAAGATCTGCAGCTACTAAAAATCCTACAATAACATCCTTCAGTTTAAATATCGACCGTGTAAGAAGTGTGATGAAACTGACTGGTTTGGCAAACATTTCAAAATATGCTGAGCTC